TTTCTTTTGGCCTTATTTTTGGGAAGGTCTTATTATTTTTGAGGTGCAGGAGACGGTGAGCGTGGTCACCTCATGGCCGCTGCTCTGTTGCGATATTTTCGGGGAGGGCTTATTTTTGGGGGAGGGCTTATTTTAGCACATGCGTTCAAAAGCCCGATTGGGCTTATTATCAGGGGAGGTCTTATTTTCAGGGAAACAGGGTACTGTCACATACAAACCTTTCTGTAGGAATTGGTTGCTAAATACCCTCATTTTAACATTTAATGAGTTGTCTACTGCAAAGCTCCTACCTCTACTACTCCCTTTGATTAATTAAATGTTTCTTTCAGCACTTACTATTAAATTATTCAGGATGAATAATATTTATGAAGCTTTATCTCCAAATTTTAAATGATCATGTATATCCTGGAACAAAAGTTTTGGGGAAAAAATAGAGAAATATTTAATTTTATGCATCTATATAATTCAACTTAAAAAAAAATCAAAATACTCACTATTCGAAACTTAGATATGAAAATAGATGTAATTTCTTGTTGAGAACTAATTTATGCCCAAATATCATAAAAACCTCTTGTGTTTCTAGAGATTGGCTTTCTATGAGAAAACAGTTCCATCTGCTGGATACTAAGGGTAAACATAAAAACATAGTTACATTATATAAGATTCTAATGATATACTAGAATGTTAGTCATAAAGTATTTTAGTTTTATTGATTATTAATCCACATTTTATTGTTATTTTGCTTCTTTCCCCCATTGTTCTCTTCTTTATGTTCTTGCATCTTTTTACAAGCACAACTTGTATTATTTTTCCTTTGTTATGTATACAGTTGTAAACATTTGAAATAATTAAAAATATTTAAGTTACAGAAAAGGATTACAGTACTATTAAATTTTCCTTTCTTTTCCCTCCAAACTTCATGCTTCAGGTCTACCTTTCAGTCAGCTCATAATTCAGGATTTTTTAAAAAAACAAATCTGATTATACTTGGGTAAAATAAGCTTGAGATTCTGAGAATCAGATTCAGAAGGCAGAGAATTAAAAAATTCTCCAGGTAGAAAACTAAATGCACAAAGTTCTACTCTAGTTATCTTTTTACCTCATCATTCATTCGTCTTCTCACTTCCAGTTTCTTCATTTTATAAGTAGAGTATTTTATTTTTCTGTCTGGAGACATCTTGGTCTGCTCTCTTTATCTTGTTGAGATTAAAGCTTAGGTAGGACCATTATTAATACACAATTTCAGTATATTTGATCTTGGATCATCATAAATTGCAATTGCATTCATTATAAGATGTATTTCTTATTGACAAAAATAAGTCTGCTTTGAAATTACCGAATTATGTCAAACAAGGTCATCAAGACTTTGCATTTACCTTTCTCTGGTTATTCTTTTAGCATACACATGCAGATGGGGCATTCATTCATTCATTCACTCACTCACTCACTCATTCATTCTGGATCACATAGAAGTTGTCGAAAATAAATCTTCCCTCCAAACAATTGGGTTCACATTGGAACACAATATGTCTGACTCATTGATATAATTTTCTGATTTTTGATATCCTTCAAATATCTGCAGATATCTGAATATATTTTTTAAAAAACTCTTGTATCACTGAGGTCAATTATTAATGTGAAAACTGCAACTCTATATGTATAAATATATAAAAATTTAGATCATAATTTTTAAAAATCAGGGATCACAATTATTTTGTCAGAAAATTAGTCTATTGAGATATATACAGGTAATCCTTAACTTACAACTATAATTGACACGAAATTATGATCGTAAAATATGGCAGTCATTAAGTGGGTCACCATGAAACTGCACCTGATTATACAAGGTGTTTTTTTTGTGGCGATCAATAAGCAAACAAGAGGGTTTCTGCTGGGAATCCCAAGTAAATGGTAAAAACTGGCAAAACTCATCAAAATGCAGTCATGGGACCATGGGACACTGCAAATGGCCATAAATGCAAGCCAGTTGGCAAGTACCCATAATGCAATCATGTGACTGGGGTGTGGGACTGTACATAGCTCTGGGAAGTCTGTCTTAACTTTGAATGGTTGCTAAGCAACCAGTGATTAAATGACTACCTGTGTAAATGATCTTAACAGAATTACAACTTAATTATCATAATCAATTATGCTAGCAATGCTTGATATACAGCAGTGGTTCCCAAAGTGGGCAGTACCACCCCCTGGGATGACTTAGGGGGGTGCTAAGAGGCAAGGGGCGGCAGCAGGGGGGCGCTAAGAGGGCGAGGAAAAAAAGATTGTGTATTGTGTTGGCTGCAGAGGGCGTCGCCCCTAGGTTTGTAATTTCCCCTTAGCTCATTCTCAGATGGAAAGGTGAAACTTGCTGAGCAGAAGATGGGCTGTTTAAAACCCATCAGCGTGGGCAGAAGGACGAAATTACCCAAACAGACCTGGAAATAGCTGTGGGCTTCCCTTTAAGCAATGTCACCACCCTCCCCTTCAATCACCGCCTTCCTCCCAGGAGAGGGGCGTGCTCAGCTTCAATCACCCATCCCCCAACACCACCAGCGTCTTAGCCAACCGGCTTGGCTTGTAAAAGGTTTTTTTTTTAACGGTCGATGGGCGGGGAGATCGTGCACGGTGTTGTTAGGGGGGGAAAAAACCCCACCAATCGAATTCTAGTTGAGCTTGTGGTTTAAAAAACAGTCACATATTTCGTGCCATCCTTTTCCTTTGCACGGAGACGCTGCTGGGTAAAAGTAACTGGGGGGAGGGGGTGATGAGCGGAAGTGCGGTCGCTCCCTTTTGGTGGTGTGGATTTTGGTTAGGGAGCTTTGGATTACCAGCAGGAGGGAGCTCGCATTGCAATCTTCCATTTCTAGCCTTGGAAATACGGGTGTTGTTAAACTCATAGGAGCTTTCTTTGATATAGGTACAGTATACTATATGTATATATTACTATAGTATAGGTCACAAGTCCCCAAACTTGGCAACTTTAAGACTTGTGGACTTCAACTCCCACAATTCTCCAGCTTAGCTGTCTGGAGAATTCTGGGAGTTGAAATCCACAAGTCTTAAAGTTGCCAAGTTTGAAGACCTCAGGGGGCTGGACCAGAAGACCTCCAAAGTCCCCTCCAGCTCATTTATTCTAAAGCTTATTAAAAGCTCCACTCAATGCTGTTCATGGATTTTCTTTTAGGATATGTGTTTAGTTTTTGAAATATCCCCATTCCTATCCTTTCTCCTTGTGGAATTACTGGTTTTGAATAGTTGGTTCGGCGAGCAGAAGTTTAGCCATTGAAACCACGTAAGCATTTAAAGGCAGAATGTCTGTGTTATGCAAAATAATTGGCAATCTGAAGGAGATAAGATTATATTGTATGCCTTTGTATGTGTGAGTATGTGCACACATAAATTTTGCAGCAGGGTTAACAATGACCAGAGCACCTCTTGGTTAGCATAGCCAATAAGAAACTTGGCCAATAATATTAAGGTAAGTATGAGCAATTCTCTATCCATGGTTGCTTTAAAAAAATGTCACCAGAGTTTCTTGCCATTTTTGGATGGAGACTGGATGAAAACAATAATACAAATCTTAAAATTGACATTTTTTTTTTAAAAAAGGAAAAATAGATTGTACTTCAGTTTTGCTTAGATGTGTGATGTTTTTGATATTTAGACCACCAAATCTTAAAGACTATGCAAATGGTTTGGAAGGTGTTAGTTGCAAAGCTAGTGTTGATACCACTGGGTGGGGGGCACTGAGGATCAGTTTGTAGCACCAAGGGGGCGGTGGACTAAAAAAGTTTGGGAGCCACTGATGTAGAGGATGAAATATTGCTATATTCCAGTTCTGTAACGCATTTTCAAATAAGGAGATAGATTAGGTAGGTAGGTAGGTAGGTAGAGAGATAGAGAGAGAAATAGAGAGAGAAATAGAGAGATGGATGGATGGATGGATGGATGGATGGATGGATGGATGGATGGATGGATGGATGATGGGCAGGCAGGCAGGCAATACCAGAAAGCAGTTAGTCAGGTTACAATGGCAATTCAGAGTGGAATTTCCACCTCAAAGTGTAAAACAGTTGCAAAACACAGAAACACATGACTATATTTCTTAGCAACAGGGATCGTACAATCCTAAGTGTCATTATAACTATAGGACCACAGGAGAGCAAGCTGGGGTGGGTGGGGTTGTACCATGGGGGGGCAGGCACTCCAGAGCATCAGGATGCAGCAATAGATGTGTGTGTGTCATGAGGGATGGGTGAAAATTTTAACTCTTGAAGAATTATGAAATTTGAGTTAGTTTCATTGATCCGTATTTCCCTGTTTATAACTTCTCTTTTTCAGGGCTACTGAACAAATATTAGTAGTACAAATATTAATTCCTTTGTTGTTAATCATCATAGGTCTGGGGTGATCATTTCAAAGGACAAGAGAATGGGGGGGAGGAGGGAATGGCTATAAGATTTGTCCATTTTTTTTCATTTTCCTTGTGAGTTGAATTCTGGAAACTTAACCCTAATACTTCTCACACTTGATTAACAATAACAAAGGAAAGCTGAAGTAAAACCATACGCATAGTCATGGTCACATTATTTTTCATTTAGCAACCACTTTGTTTAATCATCAAGTTGCCAGTCCCAATTGCAGTCACTAAATGAGGACTATCTGAACTCTCATACAAAGAGGCTCACTGAGTAACTTAGAGGCAGTCATTCTTTCTCAGACTCACTAAGCTCACAGAATTCGAGCCATTGAGAAAGTTGGAGAAGGGAGTGCTATATGTATTACATTGAACTGCTGATGGTATATAAATATAACAAAATATTTGAGCAATATTTGAGCATGACAGTGTAAGAAGAGAGCATTATGTATATTCTTTATGCCTTACTGACTTAGAGGTAATGTTTATAGTTTATTGTAAAATGTATATAATTAAGTGCTAAAACTGTATCTTTGATCTGTTTAAAAGGATATTGAATATTCTTTTTCCTCCCCTAACAATATAGGAGTTGTCAAAGTGGATTACGGAGATGTATCAGTCAGAAAAGCATTGAGAGAAAATTTGAAATGTAAACCATTTTCATGGTACCTAGAAAATGTGTATCCAGATTCTCAGATTCCACGTCGTTATTACTCCCTTGGAGAGGTAAGAAGGGGAGGGGGGGTTATTGCATAAGAATGTGTTGTTTTTTTAATGAAAAATATCTCAGATAAGTAATGTAATTTAATTTAGGCCTGAATTTATACCCAATTTATACTGAGAACATTCACATTAATTTTTAAAGCAAGAATTAAAACCAGTCTGGTTAGCATCTAGATCTTCTAGAGCATTATCATATAATAATTACCATTTTACTCGATTGATATCTTTTTGACATTCAGAAATGAAAATTATGAAGCATGAAATCTTAAAGCTGCTGGAAGGAAGTCCTTAGTTTAATGAAGCTTGCCCATTTTTTACTTAATAAATAAATCCTGATCAAGTGCTATTTTTTCCCCTAAGAAATAAATATCTCTTTTTATATTCTTTTAGCTCTGTTTTACTAAAAAGCTAATCATTGAAGTCCAGATTCATAAAAAGGATTGTCCACATGATTAGGCAGAAAACTGCCTACAGTTCAGACATTAGGTATCTTAATATCTATTTTTTAAAAAATGTTTGGAGTGGGTAGCCTGAATATGTATTCACATTTTATTTAATAGACATTTCACGAGAGAACTTGGAACTCGTTCATTACCGTCAATGAAAGAAGTGGAGCAAAATATGATATCTGACTTTAAGACTGAGTTTACGCTCCCTATTTAACATACTCACATTTAAAAGAAATTTCATGTGATTCTCTTCTCAGTGGCTGCTATTTGAAATAGACATTTTCAACTGCATAAAAAATTCCAGAGTTTTTCTCCATATTCATAAAAGGATGGTCATTATAATCTGTCATTTACAGTTGCTAAAAGAATGCAACTGTAAATGTAAAACAGGCTTTAGTCTTAGAGCTACAACCACACAGAAAACACCATGTAATGTTGAATAAATTGATGTGGTCTAACGTCTGAGCAAATGGAAGGACAACACTGGGATGGTGTACCTTGAAAGAGTTCTGAGCAAAAAAATTGAAAGATAATTTTCCACCTGTATCTACTTACATAACCTTACTTGCCAGACTAGCCATTTTTACAGGTAGTCATCAATTACCAACCATAATTGGGACTGTTAGGTCCATTGCTAAGTGACAATTGTTAAGCACAATATCATGTGATTGCACCAACTTACAAGGTCAGTTCCATCAGTTTTGACGGCGGGTTATTAGGCAAATCAGTGTAGGTCAGGTGTCAGCAACCCTTAGCCCTGGAGCCACATGTGGCTCTTTCATCCCTCTGCTGTGGCTCCCTGTCGCTCAAAATATGTGTCATAACCGACAATGTGTGAAACCTGCCAGCACGCAATTTATTGAGCTTTTCAACCCCCAGTAGGCCAACCATGGATAAATCCAAGAAAAGAAAAGTTTCAGAAGAAACAGAACCTTTAATTCAACTACATTTGCTAGTTTTGTGGGTGTTCAGGAAATAGTCAGGCACGGGAAGGGTTTTGTGGCTTCCAGTGTTTTCTTTTCTGTGGGAAACAGGTCCAAGTGGCTCTTTGAGTGTTTAAGGTTGTTGACCCCTGGTTTAGGTCATTAAACATGGTGTCATAGGATTGCAACTTGCAAATCCCGGTCGGCTTCCACATTGATTTTGCTTGTTAGAAGCTCCCTGTGAAGGTTGCAAATAGTGATCATGTGACCATGGGATGCTGCAACCAACGTAAATGTGTCCCTTTTGCCAAGTCATATGACTTCAACTTGCAACATCCTGTCAGCTTCCCCATTGACTTTGCTACTTCCTGCCAGCTTCCCCATTCACTACATTTATCCGAAGCAGGCTGGGATGGTTACAAATGGCAATCATATGACCATAGGATGCTGTGACAGCATCCACTTTGAGGACCAGTCATAAGTCTCTATTTTTAATACTGTTGTAAATTTAAATTTGAATGGATGCTAAGCAAACGGTCAGCAACTGAGGATTACTCGCAAGGATTACCTTGCAGTGTCTTTAGAAGATAGGATATATAAGTAAGAAGCAATTGTGAGGAGAATTGGAATTAATGAAGTCTTGGCAAGCTTCCCAAGGAAGGATAGTAGCAATGATATACACAAAATTCCATAGCCTATCCATTACCTTTATCTGTTTACCAATTTTCTCAGTTTAAAAAATTATCCACCTTAATTGTCTTAAGCATTTTTAGCTTTGTAATGTGCCTGCTTCTCAGCATTGAGTACAAAAAAATCTTTAATTGTTTTCCACAAAAAGAAACAGCATTACCTATAAGATGTTTTCCAGGCTGAAATATCTAGCAAAGATTTCGTTTGTATTGATAATGTTGCTCATATGATCTGAAGCTTTTCTTCAAGGATAATGTTGGGAACGTCTTCTAAAATATAAGGCTGGGAAACAAATAGACTTTTGTTTTTGCAAGTAACATAAGTACTAACATAGGGCTCAATGTACATTATTTTTGTTATCTTTCATTGAAAGCTATCTAGGACAGAGATGGGTTCCTACCGGTTCGGCCCGGTTCGGTCAAGTAGGTAGTAACTCAGCCTGCCACGCCCCCAATCTGGTTCTTTCGGGGGCGCCACACACAGAAGCATTTTTTGTAGTACTGTGCATGCACACATAGCGCACATCAAGCCTGCGCACAGTGCGTCCCTGAGCGAACTGGCAGTAGCGGCAGCCAGAACCCACCTCTGATCTAGGAGTGTCACTTTCCAAAAACAGAACTTTGGAAAGCATAGTTTTAATAGAAATTATCTCTTCTGCACGAATAAAAATGGTGGTGCTGTTTTTTAGACAAAACTCCAGTTAACACAACTTACTATTTTATTTACAAATAACATGTGCCTGGTTCCTAGGGCATCTCATGGCACTGAGTAGACACACTTGCTGGAGACTAACTCATACTGAGTTATGAGTTTTAGCATAAGCATGTTCGTGTAATTTGACATGATCCTAAATTTTACATAATTTCAAAAACCATTACATTCCTGCTATTTTTTCTTCTTAACTATAAATCTTGTAATAATGATTATGAAATGTACTTGGTTTTATTTTTCTTCACAGATCAGAAATGTTGAGACAAACCAATGTTTAGACAACATGGGGCGTAAGGAAAATGAAAAAGTAGGCATATTCAATTGTCATGGCATGGGAGGAAATCAGGTAAACTATACCCTATTTATTATTTCTAAGGCTTTGCACATTGATATAGACATTAATGTTGGAGCAGGGAGAATGACAAAATAAACATTACAATATCACAATAACAGCTTCTGTCCTTTTGTACCTGTGTGTCGAAACTATGCACATGTAAGGGATAGGAAAAACTAAGTTTATTTAAAAAAAGAATATTTGAGGTTGTGTGCATTACAGATAGAGTTGCTATGAAGCTGTTCTTTCATTGTTTCTATCTTAGAACACTTTAAACATTTTAAGTTTTGTTCCATTAGAATTTGAATAGTTTCAAACATGGCATGGATCCATTTTTGTCCCAAAATTTGAATGCTTAGATAATACTTATTTTCCTAAGTGAATCAACATAAAATAAAATCAAATTTGGTAAAAAAACAAAAAACACTCATGAAATATCTGTTTAAGCAGTTTGAAACTTCATTGATATTCCACCAATTATATTACAAGCTTGTCCTATATTGTGCTATATTATGCTGGACTTTGATTTAAGATATATTATGTATTGAGTGAACAAAGTAAGTAATTGTCCCCATTTTTCTTAGACAAATGCAATCTCATTATTCCTACTATATTTTGATAGTTCTCAGACAAAAGTGCAAATTCTAGGCCATATGTAACAGATTACAGAAAATGGAGTAAAAAAGAATTGTACAGAGAGGTTTTCTTCCATTGTTTTAAAGGGAATTAACTCAACACTGGCATTTTTGCTTTAGAACTAAAGCTTAATTTCACTTTAAATTTACCAGTATTTGATTTCCCACAACTTCAAATTCAGTGAAAGTAGATGTCAAAAGCTTCATTGACTATATAAAAGTATTTTAGTGCGATGAGCAGGCCAAGTGGTGAAATGTCCTTAACAAATATGGGAATCTTTTATGTGAACTCTAAACACAGGACAGGATATCACAGTCTGGATGGAATGTGGCAAAACAGACAGGCTCCTGGTCAGGATAAAAGTGAGATAAGACCGTATCCTCTCTTCTCCTTTATTCAATCTATAGGCTGAGCAAATATTGGTGTGTGTGTGTGTGTGTGATTGAACTGCAAGATTAGCATAGTGTTAAAATTAGAGGAAGAAACATAAGCTTGCACTGATGACACTACTTTGATAGCTGAAATGCAAATGATCTGCAAGCTCTAGTAATGAAAGTCAAGGAGCACAATGAAAAAAAAAAATGGGACGCGATTAAAATGAAGACGACCAAACTAATGAGAGCAGGTGTAGCACCCAGTCTTAGTACTGACAAAGAAGATATTGATGTAATGGATAATGTCGTCCTTTTAAGATCAACTATTAATAGTAAAGGCACTAGCAGTCAAGAAATATGCAGGTTATTTCTTACGGGTGTATAGTGAAGGCCTTGGGAAAAATATTCTGGTGCTATGATGTGTCTATAAAAATGAGAATCATGCAGGCAGTGTTTTTACTTGTGACACTCTACGGAAATGAAAGTTGAACTTTGAAGGATGAGGAGAGAAAGAGAATCACTGCTTTTGGATTTTGGAATTGGATAAGAGTCATGAGAATACATGAGTAGCCAAACCAAAAAATGGAACAAATTAATCCAGAATTCTAACTCAAGGTACAAATGATCAGCCTCAAATTATATTGTGAACACAATATGTGAAGATATGGCTGCCTTGAGAAGTCTATAGCAATGAAAAGAAAGAAAGAGGATAACCAGCAGGAAGGTATGGATAATTACAGCAGTGATGTGTGCACCATTCGGATATCTGAAAGACCTGGTTCGAGACCAGCCATACCTATGTGATTGTTAAGAGTCAATATTGACTTGATGCCACATCATAAAAGTAGAAATGGACAATCTGCCCAGAGTACTGCTTTGATGCCCTGGAGACCCATTCCCTTTCTGATTGCACTGCTGCCTTTTCTGTTTATTTTATTTATTACATTTATTTATTAAAATTTATAATCACCTTTCTCACTATCCAGAGACCTACAATACAATTTTTATGTTGAATTGGAAAGAAAAAAAATGCCCCCCCTTTCCCAATTAAGAGAATAACAGAAAAGAATAACAGAGTTGGAAGGGACCTTGGAGGTCTTCTAGTCCAACCCCCTGCTCAAGCAGGAAACCCTATCACATCCTGGACAAATAGCTGTCAGTCTCTTCTTTAAAACCTCCAGTGATTGAGCACCCACAACTTCTGAAAAGCAAGCCCCGTTTCACTCACCATTTCATTGTCAATAGATCATTGATTCTAAATTAAACATGAAGACTTATTCTTAGTGCCAAGAACATAATAAATATAAACCTTCTTACAGTTGTAAGCTAGTTAATTTCAGCTTCCAGGCACATTCTGCCCTGATTTTGAATCACTATAACTAAGATTAAATCAATTTTTTGTTTTTAAAAAACATTTATCAACTACATTATAGCTGGCTGTTAATAAGAACTTTTTCCCCTCACCTTGGATTCAACTATTTGGGACATTTCTTTTGCCAGTTATTTATAAGAATATGTAATCTCTTGAAGGCCATTTCTGACATAAAATAATTTGTAGAAATGACGTACTTTAAGGGATTGCAGGGTCTTGAAGTAGAGCAACAAGATAGAAATTGATGCAAATGTATTGATATGTCATAATGATGTCACACAATTTATGATGATAGCAAGATAGTCCTATGTCCACATTTACATTTTAGAAGAAGTATATAGAGGACATTGCCTCCTCTCACAGATACACAAATTCTGTAAGTTTTTTCTAATAAAGGCTAAATTCCAAGTGTCTCATAAAACTAATTTTAGATAGTGCAGTAGGCATATTCAGTTAAGTAAATTAAAACATGAGGTGAAATTAATATCTTCCTTACTACATTCAAAAATCAACAATGTAATATTTTATTCAAAAGAATATCCAGTCATCTGGCTTATGCGTGTAGTAGTATCCTTCCCAAATGAACTTGACCGTTGCACTTCAGTTACTTATTTTAAATTAATGCAAGAGCCCTTTATTTATATAGGCCAACATCACTGAAATGGCATTAAGTAACCCTATATATTTTCTCCATACATTTAAAAAAATCTCTTATGTGAAAAGGGTTCCTATTCCCTTAATTGTCCAAAAATATATGAATGATAAATTAAGAATTAAAGCATTTTCCTTCTTGCATGCTATTAGAAGTTGCTTATATAAACTGTGTTTACATATGTATAGTTGGAGTTTACTATAAGCCTTTGCAACATTCTTTTATAATGAACTTTGTATCATGTGTAACTAAATATTAGAATATTAACAATAAATTGTGATTAAATCTGTTTTTAATCTTTTTCCTTTATAATACACCTAATTGGTAACTTAGAATGATTTGCATGCATTCTCTAATTGGTAAAGCAATCAAATTCAATTTGTACACTTCGCCAAAGGTAGCATTCTGGAGTTAATTGGCAAAAGGTTGCTTTCAACAATTAAGAGAGAATACTTTTCCTTTACTTTTGATTAGAATACTTTTAAGTTGGTTGAGGGGTGAATTCATAATAATTGGGAGCCTTGTAAATTATTAGAATAGATGCCACTTGCATTGCTTTAATTTCACTTAATTTTATTCTTTCCAAGATCTGGCTTCAAATCAAGTGGCAGCTTGGAATTAGTAATTTCTACCTCTCCCCTTTATAATGTTTTTTCTTAACAAAACTTAATAATAACAGAGTTGGAAGGGACATTGAAGCTCTTGTAGTCCAACCTCCTACACAAGCAGGGGAATTTACACCATTTCAGACAAATGGCTTACCAATTTTTTCTTAAAAACCTCAGCTGATGGAGCTTTCACAACTTCTGAAATTAAGGTGTTCCAGTAATTAATAGTTCTCACTGTCAGGAAATTTCTCCATAGTTCTAGGTTGCTTCTCTCCTTGCTTAGTTTCCATCCATTGCTTCTTGTCCTGCCCTCAGGTGCTTTGGAGAACAGGTTGAAACCCCCCTTTCTTTGTGGCAGCCCCTCAAATATTGGAACACTGCTATCATGTCTCCCCTAGTCCTTCTTTTCATCAAACTAGACATACCCAGTTCCTGCAACCGTTCTTCATATGTTTTAGTGTCCAGCCCTTAATCATCTTCGTTGCTCTTCTCTGCACTCTTTCAGAATGCACTCTTTTCTTTCTTTTCTTCTCTGCACCCTTTTCTTTCTTCTCTTTCATTCTTTTCTTTCTCAGTGTCTATTTCATCTTACATTTATTCATTTTTACAGCCCAAATTTAACCAACTATAATGCTGCTGCTAATGTCTTCTGCTCCTCCAAGTCAGTCTTGTGCAGTACATATTGGGGTGAGAGGGTGGGGCATGTGTAAGGATGCCAGAATCATAAAAAGTGCACCGTGTCCTTATGATACAAATTGTGTCCTTTCATCCTTGTGTTGCAACATTGCATTCAAGTACATAACAAAGAAGATTTTGCATCACCAAGTGGAGCATTGCATCATATCAAACATTTAATTTCTTAGTCCCCCTTGCCTTCCTTCCCCCAATATCTATGGTACGTTCTGTATGTAAATGTAAACATTTAAAATCTAAAAACTCACCAAAGATGACTATTACTTTCAAATGTTGAGCCAAAGGAGGTTCAGCATATTTTCATGTATCTTTTCCTGGAGAAACAACCACCATCATTAGATCTTATGAAAGTAGGATTTTATTTATGCATTTATGCTTGTTTATACATTTTTTTTATACACGCAACTGCAAACGGTTTTGGGTGGCTTACAAATAAAAGTAAACATCCAAACACAAAGAACAGCCCTGGAAACAAAACCAAATAAAATCTATTCACTTCTTGTTGCATTCTACAGCTTTATTCACGGGGGAAGAGGCATTTTCCTAGGCCCATTCTGACTAATGGAAAGAACACAGAATCGCAAGGGAAACTGTGTAGTCCAATTCTTGTATTAGCATATATTCTCCCTTCTCTGGAAAATATACAATAAGGATTTGGTTTTTATGGCTGCCAGCACTCCAGAAATTATGCTGAAAAAAAACAGTGTATCCAACTCTCCTGTAATATTTGCATGAATCATGTTAATAATTTCCATGTGCTGTTTTTAATATTTATAGCACGATTAATTAAGCTATTTGAGAACTTATGTTTCACATTTATATAACACTGTAAGGTGCTTTACAGGGCTGAATTCTATCATCCCTAAAATGAACTTATAAGCAGTAATATTACCTCATATTTCAGGGGCCATTTAAGGCACAGACTGCTTATCAAGTTAATTGCCATTAGAAGACTTGAACCAAGTGCCTTTGATGTAGATCTTAAATGTCTCTCAGGCTATGTCAACCTATAAATATATTAATCTATTTAACAATAAAACTGCAATGGCATACATGAAAATTAAATCTACATAATTGAAAAACCCTGAATTTTTTTTAATACTAGCTGATAACCCGGTGTTGCCCAGGTATTTATTTATAGGGGGAAAATGTCCGGACCAAACATAATTTCTAATGTTGGATTTTCCTCCTTATTAGAGGGAGCCGCCTTGTGGAGTACTGTAAAGCCGTTACCCTGGCAACTCCACTGTGCTGTACAGTAGAAGCCATTTTAAGACACAAAAGGCTGTATCAACAGAACACACACCCTGAGGGGTGTTAGGAGTGTCTTACCCCCACAGTATTTTTTTCCAGAGAGTAGGTCATCTGTGTACCAAGTTTGGTTGAAATTGCTCGAGGTATTCCAGAGTTATGCTGAAACATACACGCGCGCACACACACAGACACATACACACAGAAACACACACACTTCCGTTTATATATAGATAGATCATCAACTGTATCTCCATTAGAATAAAACTTTTCACAAACAACATTTGAGTATTTATTTATGTGATTAAAATATCCCAAAGTTTGAACTTTTAAAAAATGTATTTGTGTTTTATTTTTGTCCTCATAACTGCTCCTTGTGTTCAGAATTTATTTTTATGTTTTAATTGCTTGCCACAGTTTTTAATAGAATAATGTAATAGAGTGTATAATATCCAGGCTTCCCTAGTCACTCAAATGGTCTTTCAATCAAAATCCATCCTAGTAATTCTAGGTTTTTTTAGCAGAATCAACCCTATTTTTCTATAAACGTCTGCTAGGAATCTTGGAGTAATTAATGGTTTATACATGCAAGGCAATTGCCAAGATTATCATTACAGACTATTTTAAAAAAGAAGCACTATATTTGACTACTGAAATGCAAGCCCCATTAAATTCAATGATGCTTACTGTCATAAAAATACAGTGTACGCAACTTTAATCTTGGTAATCAAGTAGAGTACAACACAATTCCCTATCCGGCTCTGAAACTTTAACTCTAAAAGAATATTCCTGAATAGTCATCTAGGGGATCTCATTCTTAAGTGGCTTTTCTGAGAACACGATCTAGTTCATTACATTACTTCACTTTTCATATAGTTAAGATAACAGGTAATCCTTGCTTAATGATGGCAATTGGGACTGGAATTTCTGTCACTAAGCAAAGCAGTTGCAAAATTCAATGTCACTTGACTGTTGCTTAGCGATGGCAGTTCTGGCATTTTTAAGTTGCTGTTATTAAGCAAATTTCACAGCTTTATTAAACATGACATTACGCTGTCACCATTTGCGACCTCCTACTGGCTTCCTCATTGACTTTGTTGGTGATCACATAACTGCAAGATGCTGCAACATAGAACTGCAAGCTGGTTGCCATGAGCCCAGATCAGTGACGTGTGGTGAGGTTTATGGCTGGTGAAGCAGTCCTCTCCCCCAACACCCCACTGACTAAAGCACTTTCTTTCACCTGCCTGTGCTCGCGGCAGAGCTCAGGCAGGCTGCCGCGAGCTCAGGCGGGCGAAAGAAAGTACTTTAGTCAGTGGGGTGTTGCGGGAGAGGAGGAAATGCCTGAGCATTGCATTTATTAAAGAAAAAAGAAAAAAAGGAAATTTGA